TACAGCATTCCATGTGTATATTAGAGACATCACAAAGAAGCATTTTTCAAAAAAAAAAAGATTTCAAACATACATGAGGACAACATACTGCACTGAAAGGAAAATTACATTTAGTCTAATCCTATCACCTATCTGAAATCACATTTTCTGCCCATACACATTGGCATCCTGCCCTCCAATGCAACTACAATACCAGAGGATAAAAGGGGAATTCTTGGAAGAAAAGGCAATTGTGTAAGAACCTAAGAGCCACACTGAATTAGGCTAAGGTCGATCTAGTCTAGCAGCCTGTTTTGCATGGGAGCCTGCAAGCAAGTTATGGTACAACAGCACCTCCCACTCATATTCCCAGCAACTGGCATAGAGAAGAACACCGCTCCATACTGGAAGTCCATGCCGCCATAACTCATAACCACCGATAGCTTCACTCTCCACAATTTTAACTCACATTCATCCAATTATTGATTATTAATAAAAAGGCTGTAGACTGCAGAGGCATATTATTTTTAATTATAATCCTAATAAGGAGAATAGCATACACATGCACAATTTGTATATTTTTAAGGGGCTTAGTAAAACTAAATTATTTATGTGATTAATTTAAAAAACTGCTCATCATTTTCTGTTGACGATGGGAAAAGCGAAGTCATCCAGGCAGTAAATGAAAGAGATGCCCTCTTGTAATTTATTATTGTTATCTCTCAGTTATAACAACCAACCTTCTCCAGCTTCCCTCTGGCCAGGAACCTAAAAGAGGAAAGAATGGCTGGGAAGCACAGTTGAACAATATTCTCACTCATGTACTATATCTTGTTTCCAGTTTCCCACAAGATATTTAGTACCCTCCTCGGGCTCAGCCCACCTGCACATTCTTTTGAACAATGTAGGGTTGCCGGGTTTCAGGAAATGCCTGAGAACCGTGTGACCTTAATTATTACTATTGAAATTACATGCCAAAAGTCACATGACATCAGACCTTATACATATGCATGAGCATGAACACGCATTATTGTTGAATAAGGCTGACCGATTGAACTAATCCACACTGTAATAGCCATATCCAGTTAAGAGTGTATGCTCATGCGAAATTTATTTTGTCACTATTCTTACATCAATTAAAAGGGCTTGAGGACTGTTGCCCGAATCTAAAAATGCTGATGCAAATAAGAACAGTGGTGCCTATTTTACAGCTTCGCCACAAACAAATAATTGATTATTTTACATGCATCCTAAACTGTAATCCAGAAGAGTTCCTGTTCTATCAGGGCAGGTGAATCACATGGGTGAGTCTGCATGAATAGCTTCTTAGACTGAACCCAGGACCAATGAAGCTAGTGTTTTCCTTCTGGCTTCAGTATAGGCCTATGAGACCAAAATTCCTGGGCATGGGGAAGTGTAGGGGGGGAAGGGGGTATTTAAAAATAAATAAATAAAATGTTGGAGTCTGGGTCTGTGAAATCTATTAAAAAACATCAGTCGCTTCTTGTCAGCTCCTAGGGTTGTTGTGTTGTTATGGATCTGTCCTGGTTATTGGGTAGTAAAGAAAGGCAATAAATAAATAGACTAGTCATGCTGCAGAGCCAAAATCAATTCCCAGTTATTAGGGAATATGGGGAATTCTTGTCAAGACAGCATTGCGACATCCATCTTTTAGGACATTCTTCCACCTACCTATGAAGAATGTGGCACTGACCAAAGCAGATGGCCTTCCAGGCTAACGTAACACAGTACTGCTTCTATATATGCAGCAAGCATATAATGCAAGCTCAATGCATCCCCCAAAATGTGTGTATCTTTAAGCCAGTCTCTTGCAACATTATAGTCCGTATTATGCCAAGAATGTGGTAGAGGAAGGAGAGCATATGCTTTCTGAGCTTTGGCACAATATTTACATAATTATTTCAATGACAACAGAACAATTTGATGCTCAAGTACTATCTGCAACATGTCTTTCAGTCCTGATAGCATTCTGTACTCAACGTGCCACAAAGCTGTAAGATGGAGTGATTTAAATTTGTTCTTTTTAGCACAGGCAGCATAAAGAACTTTATGGTATGTTACTGACTTCAGAATTTCTCATTTCTCTGTTTTACGCTCTGATATCCCATCACTAAATAAAGTGTTTTTGTTTTAAGCAAACATTTCTATACGAAAAAGCAGTCATGACAGATCTCAACATTTTATCAGAAGGTAGATTTTTTCCCAATTCTAACAGTTGATTCAGAAAATCATCCTTTTAAATATATAAATGGCCCTATTTTGATAACACAAGCAGTTCCAAACCATTTTAGAAAAAGAACATCAGTTCTACTCATGAAACTGCAATATTCCCAAGATTCTTCATGGAGAACAATTCTGGTGATATGAAACCTCTGTACCATGCACAGGAACTGTGCGAAAGCAGGTCAAATCATATAAGCCTTGCCTGAAACAGGGATATTACTATCAGATCAAAACTACGGTGAAGGCGGGATGCAGTCTGCAACTCACAACACAAAACTGCGAATATCTACAGAGAGAGCCCTGCTGTGTTCAGTGGAGTTTGCTTCCAGGTAAATGTGTATTTACCAATCTGCAGGCTCAGATTGGTTAAGCATCCTTGAAAAACTGCTCACCTGTTGCCAACTCAAGCTCCTGCTAAAATCTAAGTGAAAGGACTTCATCCAGAGTAAACTACTTTAAAAAATGTTAGCCTGTATCTTATCATTTAAAGACCTTTAAACTATGTTTGGAGGTGGCTTGGAAAAGCATCATTTTCTTGTCACCCTGTGGCAAGCTACAATCTACAAAGCAGAAATTAGTAAGCACTTAAGTATGTTTTTTAGCTTACTGGAACATCTAACTTTCAGGAAAATGTGAAACGCTTTGATAAAATTATATCCCTAGATCCAAAACCCCAAACCTACAAGCATGCTTCCAAGATAAGCCCCATTAATTTCAGTGGAATCAAATGCATGTATACCTAGGATTACAGTCTTAGCAGACAATTAATTGACCACACAATCATAGCACAATTCTAATGCCATCAGTGGGACTACACTGCATATGTTGTCTACAACACAGCCAAGCCTTTGCAAATAAAATAAGCCAAGCAAGCTTTTATACAAATGCTGGACATTTACAGAGTCTTACCTAAAAGTCTCTGCCAAAACCTTAACTACACACTTCCTTTTGCCTTCTCATTTAAACTGTAAGCCTGCAGGCAGTGACTGCCTTTTTAAAAATTGATCTTACATAAGCTACTTTGGGAGCTTTTCTGGCCAAAACATGGGGTAAAAATGCTTTAAATGAATAAGAACACAGGAAGCTGCTTTATACAGAGGCAGACCGTTAATTTAACTAGCTAGGTAGTGTCTACACTGAACTGACTCTCCAGGCTATCAGAAGGAAGACCTTCCCAGTCCTCCTCGAAGTTTTCAGGGAATGACCTTGTGACCTTTTGCAGCCAAACTATGAGCTCTAAAAACTGAGCTACAGCCCATCCCTTCTGAGTCACCTTTAATGGATTTGCTCTTACAGTACCAAGTACCAAACAAAAAACCACACAGAAATCCGTTCGTGAGGCATACAGCAAGGTTCTAGAATGGTAGTTATTTGCTCAAAAGTGGAAGGTGGTGGGCACATATTGTTAAATGTTCACCAGCCCAAAGAAGAGTTGCAGCAGCTACACCTACCGTCAAAACAACTGGACTAAAGGACCAATCAAGTTTAGACAGAAAGAAGGCTTATACTCATCAATATGTCCCAATCAGCTGCAAGGTTTTTTCCAATCTAAATATGCACACAACTCTGCCCTAAGACACACAACTTAAGCACATAATGGACAATGCAACAACCTTGTATGGAAGGGCTAACTATTGATTGCTTAACCCATAATTATTTGTGGCTGTATGGGAGCGAGTGAGCATGCTGCCCCCTTACAGACTCATCACTTCTACTTTCCTTAACAGCCCAGAAATGCTTTGCCGCATTTGAAGTCGGAAGCTCTGTGTGGTACAGGTGTTAAACAAACCAGAGTTAACCCAAATACAAACCATGGACTCTGGCTGCATAGCTGTTGAACAACCCAGAGCTTCCAGATTCAAAAGCAACAACATCACCAGCCAAGGACAGGGAATTCCTGAGTTGCTCAGGAAAGCACAAGCAGGCAAACAACCCATGTATATTCACAAACAAGCCGTAGTTTCTTAACTCAAATTGGGTCTATGTCCTGAATCCACACAACATTTACTGGAAGGAAACCCTTCACAAGTTATCAGCAAGTAGTTCAAAATGATGCCTGTGCTTCCACAGGCCGTATTTGCATTTGATTTCATTTTTCTTGATACAATACTCTCACCCATCTATGAGTGGAAGCCTCTCCGAGTCTGACAAAAAACGAGTATTTTTCAATGCAATTTAGAGGATCCCAGTTACTGAAGCACCCCACAATCAAATACACAAAGTACACGCACAACCAGCCTATCTTCTCAGTCATTCAACATCTTCATTTTGCTTTACAACTTTCATTTAGAACATTCCAGGTCTCTCAGCATATAACACAGAACACAACAATGTGAACATAAGCATTTATGTATCCTGTTTGTAAACAGTGCACTTGGTCATATACAAAAACACATAAAATAGAAGGTGTAGTGGATAAATGTAGACCAGGAACAAGTACAGAGTTTTGATGTGGAAACCCCAAGATTAAATTCCCATTCAATAGCTGGCACAAAGCTTTACAAACATTGTATGCCTAAGTGGCCTTGGACCAGGTGGCATTTCCTCATCTGGTCTACCTCACAGAAAACTGCCGTATCAACAACACACAATGTCTCAAAGACAACACTGCCTTCTTTGGAGCCACCCCCGCAATTGTAGCACTTTGTTCACAAATCCCATTCCACAGATCAGCGCCACGTGTTCCTGGCGCCATTATGTATAATGTAAATCGCCACAAGACCAGATGTGTGACAATAGCCACCAGCTGCAGGGGAAGGTTTGCTGGTTCTACTTACTTTATGTAGTATCTTGCACCTTCGAAAGTATAGGCTTCCTCCCAGCCTGTGGGTAGATCTAGGTAAAAAACAAATGAGCACCAGTTCACTACACCAAACATTAATACCAGTTTTAGTGCATTTTACTTCACAATATATTAAAAAGGAAGCAATATTTTCAGTTCTAAAACTGACACAGGTCAAGATCCTTACAATCATGAGCAGAAGAACCACTAAGAAGTACATGGTGCAAGACACACATATACACACAAGTCCTAAAATCCTTAAATTCTTACATCTAATGAGTTCAGTACAACACATCTTAGTAAATGCATTTAATATTGCTAAGTTAGACAACATTCCTGAATATATCTGTTATATATTCTGCCAGTCTGCTGCAATGCTCAGTGTCCAACTGGAACTCAGGAGATCTGGGTTCCAGTTCCCACCTGGCCATGAAGCTCACAGAGTGACTTAGGGCCAGTCAATGCCTCTCTCAGCTTCACCTACCTTGCAGGTTTCTGGCAAGGGAAAAATGGTGAGGGTATGAAAGCTGCCCTGGGTTCCTCATAAGAGGAAAAAAGACAAGAAACGAATATAATAATGAATAAGGTTACATGTTGCTGTAATACCATATGGAAAACCTCAAAAACTGCTTCCAGCATCAGTACCACAAGACATAAGTGCTTTAAATAAACACTGTTTTAGACTGTACTGAACTACTGTGTCAGTCATAAGACAACCAAATAAGTCACTCTGGGAAAACAAAGCAATCTGTTTAGACACATACATCAAAAATGGCAGCTGCTTAAGAGACTATTTCTTATGACATCACTGCTACATCGTCTTGCCATGTCTTCATAGATGCAAGGATTCATAGACAAGCCGATACTGGAGATTCAATCTACACTACCGATCTAGAGGTGGGAAAAGTGATATCTGGTGTTTTAGTCAACAGTGGCACAATGAGTAACTTATGACACTTTTTACGAAGAATCAAAATCAAAGACTCTCTCCTCTTCTGCTAGAAAAAGGTAATATCCCCACAGAAAAAAGTTGGACAATTAAAACTATGTGTTTCTAATAATAAGCATTGCATTCACTTAGCACAGTGTGCTCTTCTTTGCTGCATGGATACATCTGGTTTTGTTTTTTTGATACCTAACACCTGTGTTTTTGAGCATGGGTACATAATATCTGATAAAAAAAACAGTGTGGTAACCGAAACATTTATAAGGGACACAGCCTTCTGGAAATGTATTTCATGGTAATATGAGGCATTTCAACAGATAAAGCAAACTTGTGCGCTGCATACATATCATAGGCAAATAGTGAATCAATTTAGAGTTACTTTGCCCAGATAAATATAATAATGTCCAAGATTACAGCTGGGAATATTACACAACCCAGAGTAAAAGAGCGTTCCACACTTATTCCCATGTAAGAAAAAAGAATAGCAGATCTGGTTGGTGTATTAGTATGATCAGTTATCCAAATATTATCATAAGCCTATTCAGAATTCACCATGCCAACACTATGAAGAAACTCCATTAGTCCAAAAACAAGCTTGGTTCATTACCTAAAATATCATTAAAAAAACAATAAAAGGGTCTTTTGGCACAACTGGCAATTGTTCAAAGGATAACCTTGATATGTAGGGTAAAAAGGTTAAAATACATTTAAAATATGACTAGAAAGAAGCTTAGATCCAGCAGAAAAATAGGTGCCAATTTAAGAATAATTCCATGCGTGGAAGGCAACAGCATACAACAGCCAAATCACTCACTGCACAGCTGACCCTGACCCTTTCCGGCTGGACTTCCCAGTTAGGACAAGCTGTAATTATGTAAGAAACTCCCTTCAATTAAGCAGCAGCTCAGGTTCCTGACTTTAAAACACATCTGACTGTAAACTACTCCATATCATTCCCTAAAAGCATGACCAGGAAGCAAGATAAACAAAACACAAGAAGCTCTTCTCTCAAACTACTCCCAGCTTACACAGAAATTTCAAAATTGATGAACTGTCTAAACAAGAAGCAAGCGAACAGAATGGAGATGTCATCCTAACCCATGCAACTGTCCCTGGACTGCCCCTTTCCTTCCTCCCTACAATCATTTGCACAAATGAAAACAAACAATTGCATTGCTAAATATTCACCTCCCCTGGCACTGGCAACTAGCATACTGTGCCAGCAGCCAGTTTACATTTCCAGAAAGTTTTCTTTATATCATTTTCCCACTTAGTCTCCTTTGCTGGAAACTGATTGTTTTTCTGGAACGAAGAAACAGCAAAAAGAAGGGCTGATTCTACCTCTCCTCTTCCCAGTCATTCCTCAAGTTCTTCCCCTCTCTTCCCAATTCATCCAACCACCAGCATCCCCACACCCCCTCACTTATCCTTGATTGAGGGGGAAGGATTCTGAATGAACACACTTAACTGTGATCTATGAGTTTCTAAAAGCAGCCGCCAAGATCTAGAGATTATGATGCTGAAAAGATATGAGAAGTGATTTCATGTTTAGCTCAGAGAGAAAGCTTTATAAGCACACACACTGAGGGTCTACAAAAGAATACAGAGAAAGGAATGCAAGCACTGCAGGCCACATCACAAAACCGCATTTTAGGTATAATGAAGGTAGACATAATAAATCCACAAGACAACCGGAAACATGAACAAATATCCCATCTAAAATGGCAAATAACACATTTTAAAGGTGTGTCAAGTGCAACTTACTACCACCAGTTAAATGCAATTGTGCCTCGCATGAGACTCCTGAACCCAACATTATCTAGACCTTGAATGTAAGATTGGGTGACTGTCACAGGCTTATACTGAATAGCCCCTTCTGCTATCATTTGTGAAGATACACAATTCCCCACTGCCATGGTTTCAGTTTGTAATCTAGGGGATGCTCAGTAAAGGTAAGACATGCAACTCTAGGACCTCTTTGAAACTTAAAACACAGATTTCCAGAAGTTCAGGGCAACTACTGAAAAGACCCTGTCTCTGGTGCCTCATATGGATCTTGACAGTAGGTTTCTGAGCCGGGCCTCAAAGGCTGATCCTAAGGCTCAGGCATCTTTATCCCAAACTGCATATACCCAAACACTACAGTCATTCTATGAAGCCTTTCTCTAAGTGCCACCTCCAAGGAAGGTTTGGAGGGTGGCAACAAGAAAAGGGGCTTCTCAGAGGCAGCCCATTTATAGAATGATCCCTCCATTGAAGCTGCTGGTGTCAACTCTGTCCTCTTTTCAGGCCCAGGTTCAGACTGCCCTCTTCTCCAAGGCATTTCATGGTACTTAAAGGTGTTCGATGGTGTGACGAGGCATTTGTGTCAGGTGCTTTGAATAAGTCTCTTTATATAGGTACTGCTTTGGCTGTTAGACTGCTTTCTAATTTTTGTATATTTGTATATTTTTGCTGTTTCTATACAATGCTTGCTGTATTGCGTTTTGAGAGCTACTGTGAATGGCGCAAAGAGCTACCACTACTGGGCAACATAAACATGAAAATAATACTGTGCTGTCTGGGGCATGTTGGTAGTTACCTTTTTTGTCTGAATTTGTATAGGATTGCCCCCTTATACAGGTCTGTTTGGTTTTAACTAGTTGTGCATAGACATGGGCAACACAAAGGAGGAGGAGGAGATTCGTGTGGCAGGGCAGGACAGAACTTTTCAAAGATGTTGGCCTGCAAGCTTTAGGATGAGTGAGATACAGCCAGGTACTGAAAGGACTGCAGAAATCTCTGCAACTCACTGAAGTAAAAACTAGATTTTGGAAAGAAATACAGTTGTTAAGAAAACAGTCATGGATGAACTAGGCAAATGGAGAGATAGTGATAGAGAAGCTGCAGTGTAAGAGAAAACAGGAACATGATTACAGACTTTCAGACTTTCCAATGAGGGAGACAAAAATACACTGGTTAAAATCTACTACCGAACAGATTGTGTGTAGCCAATTAACTAGAAAGGGCTGAAACAGGAAAGGAGAGCTGGCAGTTCAGAAGCAAATGAAAAAGGTGCTGCTTGAGTTAATAAGGAAATCAGATTGCATATATTGGAATGGACACTAGAAATGGATGCAAAAAGAAGGAAAGCCAATACAAGGGAGGGCAAGTTGTGACCTTCCAGATGTTCTGGTCTACAACTCTCATCACCTCTCACCACTGACTATGCCGTCCACATAGAGCTGATGGGAGCTGTAGGCCAAAACACCTTAGTTGCACACAAGTTTCCTGATCCTGGTCTAAGAGAGTTAACAAACATATTACACAGGAAAGAAGTTTACCTAAGTTAGGGGCTAGTGAGGTAAAGAACAAATGACACCAAGTGTTATGGCATGGTCTTAAAAGATGGTGTGAAAATGTGACTGCTGAAATGAAAGGAACCTGTGAGGAAATTTTTACTTGGAGGGTAAAGATACAACAAGGATGGTCAAACATGCAACGCTGTTGGGGCTGCATAAGCCACCCAATTTTAGGGGTGCAAAAGAAAGTAGCATGTGTGATCCAAGACCATGCTGCACAGGATGAAGAGGTGCTATCAGATCGATGCATATATTCTGAAGAGGGAACCACAGCATCCTTTGTGTCATTGTAAGGGATCCCAGAGTGGGATTTAAACCCTGTTGTGCAACTTCAAGAGTCTGTGTATAAAAAGGGGAAGAGAAAAATGCTCTAAGGAAAGGATCAGTTGCCCAACAACTGGAAAGTCCTGAATTGGTGGGAGTATGAGAAAGGAGTGGGCAGGCTGATGATCCCAGTGGCCCAGAGCATGAAAAAGACTGAAGGGCAGAGGGAGTTGCAGACAGGGTTGAATTAGAGAGGAAAACATTGCTTTTCAATGGCTAGTTGGTCCACAGGGAAACTGATGAATCACTTCAGTAAAGAGAGAAGTGAGGAAGGATTTTGTGGGGGGGGGGAGAGTGGGAGTCATCAGTGTTGGACTTCTGGTCAAGCTGGGAGTCTGAAGGAGAGAGGAGTCATCCTGCAGTAGAGAAAGCATGGGCACAAAGTGGATGAAACGGAGGACAGAGTCAACTGGATCAAGTGCAAACAAGAAGCCAGAATAACAGTCTGGGAGGGTAAGTTTCAGCTGGTGGGAGGAAGAAAGAGCAGTCCCAGCCAAAAGGGGATGGGAGAATAGAAGTAATTTGTGGAGGTGCCTCTGTCCAACTGCAGATAAAACAGTGGGGAGGCAAGAGGCCAGCAGTGAGTGGCCCAAGGAAGTCAGGCTGCATTACGGTGATACAGGAGGCGAGGAAGTCTGGGTGAGGTTGTGGGGCTAACACATGCAGCACAATCTCAGGAACAAGGATGGCCAAGACTGGTCTGAGGCCACAAGAACAAGATGTTGCAGAGCTGAACATTTCAGGTCATCACAGCCATGTTGGATCAGCCCACGGATCCCTCTAGTAGCACAAAGAATTCAGAGTGGCCGACCAGTGAGTTGCCTGTGGTAAAACCACGAACAGAACACAAGCACAACTACGCTGCTTTGGCATCTCAGCTACAGCAGCCAGGGTGGAATGAGGAGCAGCTGTACAAGCAGTTCCCCAACTTGTTGGGGGGGGGGCTTGTGTTGGGGAGGACCATGGGTAGTCTTCACTATGGTTTTCAGGTCCACCAAGGAGAAACAGAGCAGGGGGTGGGGCAGGGGAGGTCACTGCTTCAAGAAAGGGAGAAGCAAAGTACCAGCAGGGTGGGGAGGGCAAGGGGGAAAGAGGATGGGAAAGGGGGAAAGAGGGAGCCAAGAGGTAGGAAAGTGGGGAGAGCTGAGGGGCTGAAGCAAAAGAGAATAAGAGGGGCAGGGAGGAGCAGCAGGAAAGTAGGGGGGCATGAGGAATACGTCTGAAGTAGGTAAATAAGGAGGCAGGGGGAAGAAGTGGGGAAGCAGGTAAGTAGACAGGCAGAGGGGAAGAAGCCCGAAGCAGGGAAGTAGGGGGCAGCGTGAAACAGTGGGGCAGAAGGGAGAAAGCATCGGGCTGGTAAATAGGCGACAAAGGAGAAGGAGCAGAAAAATACGGGGCAGAGTCAAGCAGGGAGGCAGAAGGGAAGCAGCGCGTAGCAGGAAAGTAGGAGCAGAGCAGAGAGGAGGAGGAGGAGGAGGAAGCAGGCAGCCACATTACTCATTCTCCCCCGCGGCCCCAGCCTCAAATAGGATCGCCGCGCTCTCCATCCCGGGGAATTCGGGAGTGCGGGGCGGGGGAGACGGAGGAGGAGGAGGAGGAGGAAGCGCCGCTTACCTGGGCTGTGGCGGTGCCCGGTGATCACAGCCTCTCCCGTCAGCGGGTGCAGCCAAGTCGTGCTCTTCGCTTCCTCGCTGTGGGGAGCAGAACAAGAGGAGAAGCGGGGAGGCTGAGCGAGCGCTGCGCGGCGCTGACCCCGACCCGACCCGACCCGAGGACCCCTCCGCGCGCCGCCGCCCCCCTCCCCGCAATCGCCCCGCTCGCCTCAGCAGCAGCAGCAGCAGCGTCGCCGTCCCCACCCCGGGCAGGACCGGGGCGGCTCCTTCGCCTCCGGGCTTCTCCCGCCGCCGCCGCCGCCGCCCCCGGGCCCCTCGCGCCGCAGCCCGGCGACTTACTTGATGAAGAAGACGCGGCCGCCGCGGCTGATGCCGAAGCTCCAGCTGGCGGGCAGCGAGCGCAGCCGCTCCACGCTCAGATCCGCCGCCATGTCCGAGCGCAGCCCGGGCGAGAAGCAGCGCGCGGGCGCGCGACGGGGGAGACCGGGAGAGGCGGGGGGAGGAGGAGGAGGAGGAGGCGCGTCGCCGCCCGCGGGAGCGCGCGCGCCGGGGAGGGAGCGAGAACGCCCGGGAGTGAGAAAGAGAACCCGCAGCACCTGGGCGGCTGAGGGAATGGGTGGGAAGGGGCGCCCCGCCCACCGAGCCCAGCGCCCGCCAACCAGCGCCGAGCTCCCCGCCGAGCTCCGCCTGCCAGTGGCCCCCAGGTTTCTGGCTCGCGTGAACGAGCGTTCCGAGGCTCCGCCCTCGGAGAGGTCCAGAAAAACAGCGGCGCGCCCCCTATCGGCGGCAAACAGGAGTGGGTTTCGTGTATTGGCGAAAACTCCTGGAAAGGGGAGGCAAGCGGAGAGTTCCGATTTTGTCACGCTATATCGTGAATAATAATATTAATAATAAGGATTCGTTCCAGTTTTCCACTTTACTGCCCCAAACAGTGCTGTACGTCCAAGGCCAGTGGCTCCTACTTTCCCCCCCTTTTTTCCTAACATGCACGCGCATTGGCGCCAGTCAATGGCCCGTGGAAAACTGTAACTGAATTAACGTATTGGAATGAGCTTCGCCCGCCTTCCCCGGGGCCTCGGTGGAAGTCGCTGGGCAGCGGCGGGGAGCCACGCGGGATGCTGCAGTCCCGCGCCCGGCCGCGGAGGGGGCCGGGGGCGCGAGGAAGACGCCTCGTCGCTCCCGGTGTCGGCGCGCTAGCAGCACGGTTTCTGCGCGGGGGGAAGCCTGCTCGTGCGAGAGGCGACAGCGGCCGCGCTGGGGATTTTCCGGGGGACTCCGGCGCAGACGGGTGGGGTTGAGGGAGAGAGCTTTGCAGAAGAGCTCGTGCAGTTGACTCGCAAGTTTACTCTGGAGTAAGTCCCGTGGTATCCAGTGCAGCGTAGTGCTAGAACGGTGTGCACAGGGCTGCAGTTTAGGAGTACCGGCGGTGCAATCCTATACTCGTTTAATCCCACTGAGTTCGGTGCGTCTCAGTCTCACATACGTGCGTGTAGGATTGCAGCTCAGTTTCTATAAAATACAAGGTAAGGAGGGATGTCAACATCTGGATAAGGTTATTTTGTCTATTGTTTCCACCCTCCAAGTATTTTGGGCACCAGCTCCAGCTAGTATGGACAATAACTATAAGTGATGGGAGTTGTAGTCCACAACTTCTGGAGGGGTCAGAGTTAGCGTCTTCTTTCAACAGGTTTAAAGGAGGGGGTGTTTTTGCCTCTGCCATCAAGGATTCCTAGAGAATTCACTCCATTAATTCCTTCCTGCAGAGACTCCACACTTGGGGTCAACCAGGTGAGCCCTGTAGGAGCTGCTTTGCTTTGAGAGGGAATAGAGTCCGAAGTCCAACTTTCACCACCCTGGGAAAACAGTGGCAGCTCAGGGACAAGGTGCATCTCATTGTGAGCCTCACTCAGTTTTGCCCCCTGCAGCAAACTGGGTTTGCAAACTGAGCAAGTATCTCCCACAGGGTGTACGTATGTACGAGAAACACTTGCTTTTGCATGTTTGGCTTCCCTGTTGCATCCAGCGAGCTTGCAGTGCCTTCCAAGTTACAATTATGAATTACTACCAACTTTTATCTTTGAATTTTGTAATCGTTAAATGGCTTCTGTATTCCCAGTTTTGTTTTTGTTTTTTTTTTTTTTTTGCTTTTGCCTTTCTCCCCCCAAACAATCTTTGTGTAAGTTGGTAGAAGGAGGTTGTAGGACATGGTAACCCATCCAGGAGTTTATGATGAAAGAAGAATGGGAAACTGCTGCATGCAACAGTTCTTGAAAGGCAGCAACAAGAAAGAAAAGACTGTCGAGAAAAAAACCAGAAAGATTCCACTGGGGGTGCCCAATCAAAAGAACATTTACAGTTTATTCTGACATACAGAAAAATACATGCAGCATGTAGGTAGCCCCCAAAGGGACTACCAAGATGGAGTCTGTACAAGATGCTTTAATAATCTATCAGTTACAAAACAGAGTTTGCAGGGGGGGGGGGGGGTCACATAGGCAGTTCGCTAGAGGCAAATGAAGGTAAAACAATCCAGCTGAATAGATTAAGATGCACTACACAAAAAGAAGAATGCTCGGGACAGGCAAATATTAGCACGCACCCAAAGGAAGCCCCTTCAGGACAGGCGCATGCAAGTGTTGTTCCCCATGTAGAGCTTACAACATGGATTGCTGATCAGATCAGGAATCCCCCCTTAGGTCTCCCAAGTCAGGCTTTAAGCAGCCATGTTACTGCACCGCTTTCATGCATCGTGTCCTGACAAGGTTGCAATCCTGCGGCTCCTGGATGCCTCCTTGACAGCCATGGACTAGGTGGAGTCCCACCTGCGTCCTTGGAAATAAGTTCTTCAGTCAGAGATGGGACTTGGGTTGCGGAGAGCTGCCTGTCCACCAACGGCACAGCCAGCTCTCAGCGGGCAAAGAGGAGCAAGGCACCTGCCGTAGGAGGATTTCTGGCAGCCCATCATTCCTTCTTCCTCACAGGTAGAGGGAAAAGGCATGGGCAGCTGAAATCAACTGTCTGTGTCTTGTGCAGGAGGGGAGTTGCTCTGGATCAGATGCCTGCCACCTCCCAGCTTCGGAGAGTTGCAGAACACCCTGACGTGTGTGAGCCCGTGGTCAGACTAGCTAAACAAAGAGGCAGCTTATCTTCACCCTTGCCATTATTCATAGGCAGGTTTAGGGTGGGGTTTTTAATGTCTTTGTTTCATATTACAACTCAGTTACTTCAAACACATTTTATATTCATCATGAAGCCAAGGTCACAGTTATGCATCCCACTTGTATGCATAATTCTTTGGAAATAAGTCCCGTGATTGGTTTCACTTAAGTGTGCATAAAATTGCAAACTTTAGCATTACCTAGTTGGAAGACTCCTCAGAACAAACCTATTTATTTTGCATTGAGTTGTAAACTGGAAACAATTGAGGAGACCTGCCTCTAAATGTACTTTGGCTCAGACAGCAATTTTTAAAAAGAAAAAATAATGTGCTATGTCATTTACATGCATGCATATTTTAGCCTGCCTATTGAGATGCTAAGGAGCTGACACTTTTCAAAGCGTATTTTTTGCATAAAGTATTTTAATGTCAACATAATAAAGGCACATCTCAAAATACTTAGGAGACCACCATTGCCCCTGTGCCTCTTTAGTCACATTTTGTTCAATGCTTACTTGGAGTAAATTCCATTAAGAACAGAAGAACCTCCTGCTGGGTACCCAGACTGGCACTGCAAGGCTGCCAGCTTCTGAACAATCCCCTACAGCTGGGCCTGGAACAGCTATTTGATCTGGGGCAATTAGCAGATGATTTATCTCCAAGCCAGGAAAAGTTTCACCTGCTATTTCCTGTAACTGGAGCAGCTGCTGGAGTTAAAAGAGCAGACTAGCCCAGGTTTCCTTGGCAAGTTGGCAACCAGAGCACTGGGATTGTTTCGAACAGTGCTGATTTGCCTATGTTGATTTGCCTGCATGCACGTCAGTTTAGACTCTGCGGCAGGGAGCATCGGTTCCTTTGTGGCCCTACAGCCTCCCCTGCATGCAGAATTGGAGCACTCTCACTTCTTGCACAACACACACTGGTTGTTGGTCTAGCAGCCTGACTGGGGTTGTGAGCTTTGGCACTTTGCACCCCCTGTTCTTCAGTTCGTAGCCCTCATGTATGGCTGTGCATGCAATCAATGCACGGTGGTGGGGTGAGAAGGTTGCCCACAGGATGGGCTTCCACAGACCCAATAGCACATTGGACTTAGACCAGGCTCAGCTGTGCAGCTTCACTGTTCCTGACCCGAGGCAAGATCTGCAGTGCTTCGCTATCATCTCATCTGCTTCCAGCTGGGACAAGGTCTTTGCACCTGATTCTGATTGCACTTTTTAAACTTTTTGGCTTGGCTTGGAGGATCCCATCACAAGGTCAGTTGTTTGGGGCCTTCTCATTTCCATCTGTGGGATTATCACCACATTGTAATCATTGGTACCTAATTCAACAAGGCCCTTCACCAGACAGCATAACAGCATTTGTGCAGAAAGAAAGCTAGGCCAAATGCAGCTGGAGATGGGTGTTCATTAAAATGCTCTCCTTTCTTTTGAAAGGCCAGGTTCTTGCAGATGTGGAAACACATAACAGGGAAAGTGCTCACTGAGTCAGAAAAAAAAACGGGGGGGGGGGACCACTGCCTAGGAGCAGACATGAATTAAAGTGCAGGAAAAACTTGCAGAATACTCTTGCTTGTTGCGTCAGCTCAGCTAAGACAACTACACAGGCAATCTTTTGTGTAGCTAAGCATGCCTCACTTCAGTCAATTCTGTGCAGTAAAGGAAAACCCAAAGAGTTAATCATCTTGCGTGAGTGTGCGTGTGCGTGCACGCCCTTCCAGCTGACAAGGAGATGCTGCCAGCTCTCTTGGGACCAGTCAGTTTCAGCTCGTACAACAAGACCTTGCTCTTTATAATGTGTAACTGACTCCTGTATATTATGCACAAGAAATAATTGCATAGAGGTCATATAAAAAAGAGCAGGAGGGGCATTAACATTAAGAATACAAAGGTGGTGAATGAGTATGTATAAATGATTGACTTGTTGATGGGAAAGCATCTATAAGAGCCCTGACCTGCTGGAAAGAAACTCCACGTAGCTCTCTTGCTCCTCTCCAAAGCTAAGCAGGACTGGGTGTGCCTGCTAATTGGTGGGCCCTTGCCTAGGAGCTCCCTATATGAGTCTCTGTGCAAAATATGCAAGTTACCCTACTCTGAGGCTTGGACCAACATGCTCACTGCATACAAACCGCACTGAAGTTGATTTGCATTGGTATCATGCTCTTACTAACCTCTTTTCTCTCTTCTTCCCCATCATTGAAGGCTGTTGGACAAATGTGTTCCTTTCCTCTCTCAGAGAATGAGCTTCCTTGCAAATTCCTTTCTTGCCTTCCTGCTCCCACCTCCAGTTAGAAGGATGCT